ATGTTCACAAGACAATGAATCAGTTTTCTATTCTAAGGATCATCCAGGTCTCTGCTGCTTTCTCTCCTTCCTCTACTGCCTGACCTTTGGTTCACTCTACTTCTCTAAGGCTTCTGATACATTACATAGCAAGAAAAGGAAACTTGGAAATTAACATTGAGAAAAATCAGTTTCTGTACCATTAGCTGCCCTAGTAAATTCATAGGAAGAGATAGGGTTCATTTTTATTTCCAATTCACATCATTGCTATGGTAATATGACCTTATCCTCATAAAAGGAATTCATGGGCAGTCAGGCAAATACATGAACACCAGCCTGCGGGAAACCTCAAGTACAGTAGAGATATGGAATGTTTTTCCAAGAGCCAAGTTTTCTTACAATGAAAATTTTTTTAAAAGTGTACTATTAAGGGTCAAATATTTGCATAGTGAGCTATTTTGAACTTTTCAATGTAAAATACTGAGCCCACATCTAGTGGGTTCATCTCTTTTTCAAAAACTAGCTCTAGGGCTTTCAATACTTTTCTCCCATATATACATGTGTGTATATATGCATACAACAGAGACAACCTAGATTGACAACCCAAATGGATATCTCTATTGCAATTTGCAACCTAGTATCAGGAGTAGAGGTAGCAATAGATTCTCTGCAAACTGGCAATATTTATACAAGTTAATACTATTTTGCAGCATCTTTTGCCTTGCCTCTACACTTCCCTGAATTAAAAAACATTCTTTTTAGTAAGTCTGACAAGGTAGTAACAAACCTACAAGTTCATTTTCAGCAGTAGATGGTTCGCAAACAAGATGTCAACAGGTTTTTATGATTACAGATTCCCAATATCCTGGTTTCACAAAAGTGTTCATAGAGATTGATGGATATTAAAAAAAGAAATAAAAATTGAAACAGAGAGATACAGATAGGCTTTTTCATTAGAATGAATGATGAAAAGTATTAATTCACCTAGCAGCATTCTTCCTTTTGTGAACTTTTTATCTCATTGTCTTTGACCTGCAATCATAGTCTTTAAAAGAAACAGCAAAAGAGGCTGACAGGTAACTAAGAAGATGGGTGGCTGGAAATAAATGTTTCCTCAAGTGTTTGTTACCCTTCAGAAATGTCCATCAGCTGAAATGTTAGTCCCATAGAACCACTTGAGCAGTGCAGAGGAGAGCAGCGGGTAGCTGCTATTAATTTTTAAGGCTGGCTGACAGCTCTCGGTCTGAGAACAAGGCTTAACTTTGCATTTTGAATAATGCAGGGATTTTCATTAGTTAGAATAGGAATTGAAATGATAAATGATGTATTGTCTGCCAAAATACTGTGACATTACATTATGTATTTGTAGTTACATTTCAGAGTAAGCTTTCCAGAAGTATACTTAGACAAATTGGAAAGCTACCAGCATTATTTTATTATTGTATAGTTAAATTTTGAAACAACAATGCAAGGGACACATCTTCTTGACTGTGTGTTGATAATGTCGTATACAGAGGGCAGTTCATTACTGCACCTAAAAGATAAGTGTTGGCACAAATTGTGCTAGTCTATGAGATCATTGACATTGGTTTCAGACATTTCTTTTTGCTCACATCTGCCTTCTGAAGACTCCGGGACAATTTAATTACAAATGCACTTTTGATTCCTACTTCTCACAAAAAAAATGTAAAATTATACTCACTTGAGAACTATCAGACTAAAAGGTTTGGGATTGCTCTTTGCTGTTATCTTTCTTCCCAAAGATTATCATGTCAAGTTGGTCTAGGGCATATTTACTTTGTTTTGAGCACCCAAGACTCTTTCTGGCTCTAAGTGTTATTTGAATTGGTGGTAACAAAACTACTGTATCCAGATGTCTCTTGGTAACTTAATGTATGGCCTTAAAAACAAACACTAGAATTAATCCATTAATAGAATAGACTGCTAGCAGCTGTTTCAATTCCAGTTTTATGGGTATTAAAATAGCTGATTCAGAGATTTCTATAGAGAAACTAAAGCTAACAAAAGACACCAAAGTCAATGGAACTGCAAATATCTGCCAGTAGCAATAAAATACATGTACACTGACATTATTACTCTCAAAGAAGGTGGATGGAAGGTCAAAATCGATTTAGATGAGCCTTTTATTTTGCATGTCATTTTGCATTTTCAAGTTTTGCTTAAAATCACAAGCTTCAAGGAAAAGTCCTTTGTATATTTATTCTACTAGATAAAAGAAGACTATTGATTAATCTGCCTTTTCTCATGCAGTAAGATAGGATAGAGCATTAGCATCATTTGAGAGTCTGTAATGAGTTCACGAGGACACTTTTGGTAGCTAATCAAAAATAAGTGATAAGGGATTCAGCTGGAATTTATCAATCAATGTATCTTTTTTTTGAAGTATTTATTCAGCCTCCAATTCTAATGATCTCCTGTTAAAATTGTTCATACTCAGCCAGTTGTTTTTGGCTATACAGCCTGTCTTTGCTGTGAGGTGGAAACGTGCTGTAGATTTTCTATACATTAACCAGATCAGATTGTGGAACCACCAATGGAGTTTCTGTACTTTTTGCAGTTAACCTCATAGTGTCATTACAGCAACACGTTTGAAATGTCCTAAACTTTCTGGTTTCTCTAGCATTAAAAAAAAATTACATGCCCCCAAGCGAACATAAAAGATACGATGTATTGTGTTCACATCTTTTCATGGCCTGATAAGTTTAAACTCAGGGTCTAAATATTTCTTCCAGTTCGTTAAGTAAATCCTCATTGTCAACTGGAGTCCAGTTCCTATGCAATGCATGAAATCTATTTGGTGGGATACATTCATCAGACCCCTTTGGAGTTGTATACTAGAAGTTATAATGGCTATCCAGATATTTATCTTCATTTTTTAGAAAAGTCAGTAATTTTTTAGGAAAGACAATAACTGCAGTGATGTAACCAAGTCTCCAGGATGGTTGGTGTGATTTATCTAATAATTTATTTTTAAAAAGTCAATCAAAATTTTCTTTGGAATTATGTAAGCCCATAACAGAGATGTGTCAAGAAGTGCCTTATACATTAGCAGGTGCTCAATAAATGCCAGTTGTTGACTTTTGTTGTGATATTTCATCCACTGAATTTCAGGTCACATGCCATTTTTTTTTTCCTGAGTGTTCTGCTAAAACATGAAGGTAACCTCATAACTTTTTAGTATGTCAATTAATTCTTTTATAGAATCTCTTTTTTTATTTAAACACCTCACCTTGAAGATTATCATTTTAAATTTTCTCAGAGCATTTTACATCGTTTATGTATATGTATTTCTTGCTATAATTTATTGTATTGATGTTATTGCTATTAGATTTCAACCATTCTTACAATTTGGCAAGAATTACAGCTTACTTACAATTGGTGGAGGACAAAACAACCCCTTCTTTTCTCCTCAGCATAATGTTTAGGTCTCAGGAAAAGTGACTAAGACATGATAAGACAGCAGTCTGCAGGCCTTGGTGTCTCTGGGAATCCTTCCACACAACACAGATCAAGAATTGGCAATATTTAGTGCACCTATTTGTGTACAGTTTGGTTTGCAAGCAACTAATTGTAGCTTTACTATGCTGAGTTCAAGTATTTTAAATTCCAAATGTGAAAGATTTCATAGCCCTGGAATAATGAGTTTTGGAAGTTCTCAACCAAAATAAACTCACAGAGAGAGAGCATAGTACTTACAGGTGTCTTCTTCTTCCATGAAAATACTGATCACATAACAGGCATACACAAAACCAACCAACTGCAAAAGAAAAAAATACTTTGAGAATCTATACCAAATAATCAAAGAGCCTATATAATCCAATAGGTAAAGAATATAAAAGAATAATGTCTATGAATTTGTAATAGAAAAAAATCTTTTTTAAAAATAATAGCTGTGACTTTTGAAGAGTCTTTATATTTCTACTCAGCTTTAATAGTTTTCTAAAAATGTACACAGGGATGGGAAATATTCTGGATATTTCCCTTAAATTTTGATTTGGGATTTATAGTTCTTATATTTTAAAATCACCACAGATTATTTAGAACATACATTTTTTTTAAGTTTTGACTATTTATACAGCAATTTGGAGCAGCACTCATTAATACAAATATTTTGGTGTTTAATAGCCACACAAGGAATCAAAATATGTTTGTTGTGAATTAAATAACAATCACTTACTTAATTATTCAAAAAGCTTCTAGAACGTAAATTCTATTTAAATAATAAGTTGTTTTGTTAATTTTATCATAAGAAACTACATTAACTTCAGATCATTAGTCAAAAACTAAAGTAGGAGCTAATTGATACTTTGGATGCTAGTGGTTAAAAGACTAAATTCAGGTACCAGAATGTAGGCTTTCTCACTCTTCATGTTGTTTTCTGCACTTATTATAATGAGAAAGCAATTTTTATTCTATGAAGCCAAGACACTACAGTTCCTAGAGTACAAATTGTCAGTGAAACTAACCCAGTCTAACATTACTCTGATACTTTGATGAAAAATAGACATTTCAATAGCGGCTGTATAGCCTGTCTTCTAGCCTTTCTCTCCACTGTGAAAGCCTGCCCCCCACCCCCACCCCTCCACCTGCCCCCTCATAAAATAACATCTGGAAAGGAAACTTGTCTGGTAGTCCCCCTTCTCTAAGGCTGAAGTTCCCAATGCAGAGAACAACGTGTCTGGTGTTCGCATCTGTCCATGTAGATTAGGAGCCTGAATTTGTCATCAGCCTCCAGATTGTCTAGACTAAGGCTGTGACATCCCTGGGAAGGTGACGGGTTAGGGAGTGAGAAGGTCTTGGAGAAAGAGTTTCCAGAGAACCAAAGCCTTCCCCATAGGGGGCCTCTTCTATTCTCAAACCAAGTGAGGGAGTACATCAGAGAACCACTTCAGGAACTTGCCAGTTTCTAGTAATTTGAGGAACTCGGGGGCTTGGCCCCTGACTTGCTTGGAAAAGACAAAGGTGAGGGGCGGGGGCTACAGGGGCTTTTGGCAGCAGGGCAGGAGGGGTCCGCAGGACGGGCATGTGCACATGGGCCCTTCGCCTAGGCAGTAAGGCCTTCAGCAGAGCGCTGGCTGTGCTGACCTGGCGTAGAACCACAACTGAGTGCACTGCCTGCCAGGCCGTGCCTCGGAAGATGGGTGTGGGCACTTTGGTTACAGCTGAGTAGTTGTGTTGAGTAGCGGCCAGAGGTGGATTATCTAGAGAAGCAGGTGAGGATCCTGAAGCGGGGGTGGGGTGGGCTTTGAAGAACTCAAAAAGTACTCCACAAAGGGAAGAATCCACATCTAGGATCTGTTACCCCCAGAGGGCCACGCCCTGCTGGATTAGACTGAACCAGCCTGTGAGACCTCACTCTTTTCCCATGATTCTTCCTTCATTTCTTCCTGGGAGTAACCCAGAGCAGCTAGTGAGTGCAGAGAGAAGTGGAGTAGGGATTGGAGAAAGCAGCCACCGGTCCCTTTCTCACCGAGATTTACAAATTGAAATTAGGACCAGGCCAAGGAAGAGCTTTAAGTAGATGAGAGTTTGTGCTGACTTGGGCTGGACTTTTTAATATCCATGAGGGAACAAAAGAGCTCTAAGTTCTGCCTGAAATGTGACCCAAAGGGTGAGGCAGATGGAGGGCACAGCATACACTTGAAGGAGAAGTGAGAGAGAATAAAATTGCCTTTTGATTATATTCTACAAAGTCTCAATAGATCAGCTGCACACAGAAGAAAGAAATACCCTATGATCTCATAACTAAGAACTTCCTAATGGACTTTCTTTTTTCTGACCTGGCGTAGAACCACAACTGAGTGCACTGCCTGCCAGGCCGTGCCTCGGAAGATGGGTGTGGGCACTTTTTTCTCATAGTTGTTATATTCCAGTCTTTTTTCTCATAGTTGTTATATTATACTTTCATGACCCAAATCAATACTTTTCACAAGCTTAATTATGAATGACTATATGAATTTTCATAACTTAAATGTAATGTATTTAAGCAATTTTCTATTATTGAAAGCTGTTTTCAACATTTTCATATCATGCTTTTATGATGAGTATATTCATGCTTTTTTGTATTTTGTATTATCTAAATCCTAGAAGTGCCATAAATGTTTTTATTCTTGTTTCACACATTTTAAAATTGCTTTTAAAAAGTTTTTTTTCACCTGTTATACTAATCCTACTACAGAGTGCATAACAATGCTGGCTTGTTCATACCCCTAGTAGCATAGGATTTTTCATTTCAAAAATACATGCCAATATAACAGACAAAAGAAATCTTCATTTATTTAATTTGCAATAGCTTTATTTCATTTGAAACATTTTTATATTTTATTAGCCATTTATATATTTTTTTCTGAAATACCTACAGAAGTCTTTTCCCCATTTATTAATTTAATATTGTTTTCATTAATCTCTGTGAGGTCTTATGGGTACACATACTAACCCTTTGCTGCATTTGTTGCAATTTTTTTCTTTTTGTCAACAAGTGATGATGGTGACTTCATAACTCATTTTCTTAGTAAACCATATATCGGAAGGCATCTGCCAACAAAACAGCTTCTGATTTCTTGGTGAGCTCTTCCTTAAAGATATGTGTGTGTGTGTGTGTGTGTGTGTGTGTGTGTGTAAATCAAGAACTTTGTTATGTCAATGTTCTATTGCTGCTGTAACAAATAACCACAAACACAGTGGATTAAAACAACATGAATTTATTACTTCATAGTTCTGGAGGTCAGAAGTTTGAAATCCTTCTCTCTGGGCTAAAATCAAGGTTTCAGCAAGGCTGCCCTTCTACTGAAAAATCTGGGACAGTCTATTTCCTTGCATTTTTCAGCATCTGGAAGATGTCTGCATTCCTTGGCTTGTGGAAAAAATCCTATTTTCCGTTTCAAGGTCAGCAACCTTGACCTTAGTCCTCCTATGCAGCAGCTATGACTGTTTCTCTTTCTGCCATTTTGTTCCACTTTCAAGGACCCTTGTGATTACATTGGACCCACCTTAATCCAGAATTATCTCCTTGTTTTAAGGTCAGATGATTAGCAACCTTAATTCATTTCCCTTTGGAGGTTAGGGCATGGACATCTTTTGGGGGCCAGTATTCTGCCTACTGCATTTGTGAACTTGAATCCCAGGCTCCCATGGATTATTTCTTTCTACTTTGGATTATTTTTTGTACCTCTTTGAATCATATGCTTTACTTCAGAGACCTTAATTTGAAGATGACCCTTTTGCTTAAAAGACAGTTCAGTTAGTCCAGGTCACATGAGTTCCAGTAACATAAATACAGGCAAATCAGATTTCTTCTGAACCCTGAAGAGCTAGACCAAGTGACAGCCAAATAGATCAAGAGTCTCCTATTCAGTGTGACAAAGATGGCTGATCCTCTGTGCCTTTTCCAGCTGTACTGCAAGGAGAAGGGCAGTACCCAAATGGATGAATCATGTTTCAATTGAAAAAGTTCTGAACTAGTTTTATTACCTTGCTTACAGACAGAAATTTAGATGCTACAATGTGTATTTTATCTTGGAAGTGGTTTATTGAATAGTTAGCCCAAAGCTGCTTGATAGCTTTTGTATTCCAATAATTTTTCCTCTACAGCAAACTCAGGTAAGTTAAATCTTGCAAAGTACATTTTTTCATTCATGTTTGTGGGAGGTAAGCAAAGATAAATAAAAATGTTGAGTGCTATAGGACTTTTCTAGTGTAAAGCTAAAGGCCTTTGTTTCTCTTCTTTTCTAATAGACTATACTTCTTTAGAAAAAAGTATAATGCTCCTACCTATATACCTTTACATTGATTTGAAGTAAGATAAATTATTATTTGGTCTTTATAGATATCTTTGGAGATGACAACAATGTCTAAAGTATGTATTAACATATTATTAGACTCTTTGACAGAGGACACATTTTGGTGTTTTCTAACATTGACTCAATCCATTTGGCATACTGGGTCCATCAGCATTTACTGTTTGGTTTATTGGCATTTACTAGAAGGAAAAGGCCAAAGGATTGATGATAGGGCCCCTTGAGAACAAACTCTGTGATCTCAATGCTGAAACATTGTTCTGATATATCAATGTATAGAGTTAATTTGATGCAGTTGAAAAAAAATCCCATCTTGAAAGAGAAATTTTGACCTAAAAGTAAATTCACCCCACCCACCTCTGGTTTGCCTTCCAGTTTTCATAAGAGGCTTGGAAAACATTAACTGCTAATGGCTGAACCATACATTGCTTTGTTACATATGTATACATCTAGGGATACCAATCTAAGCACCCTGTAAGGAAACTTTATAATATAAAATAAAATTTTTTTTTGCTGGAAACTTTTTAATGATTCTAATGCAAGTTTCTTCCCAGGCCAAACAGAAAGGGTTGACCAGATGGCTAACACTGAAAAACAAATATAAGTTTATATAGTCCTGATTTCATTATTTGAATAAGTTTTTTAGGGACAGGTTTTGGATTAGAGCGAGACTTTGAACATGTTGGAAGGAATGCATAAGAATATGATCATAGATGTACTTTTTAAAATAAAATAAAATTTTATTTAACAATCGGAAAATCTGTTCCTTTGGCATTAAGTCTAACAAAATAAATGGTCAGTCAAAGATTTGTTCGCTATACTCTATCTGTGGCTATGTGTCTCTGTGTAGACAAGTGTCTGTGTCTACAGATGCTTTTTGTTTCATTGACATTTTAGCCTCACTTAAATTAATATGTAAAGTTTTGTTATTCTAATAATTCTAAAACCTGAATTAAATATT